GTACAAAATCATCCATGTGACCATCAACAAAATTTATTTTATAATCTTTTGGTATTTTATGCATTATTACATACACATGTCCATCTCATATAAAGAAATTCATATCTTAATTTTAAACTGTATACCATAAACATCTTTCCATTTTATGACAACACTGGTGAACATTATTTTAAATTGGTTGCATCACATATAACATAGTGGATGCACCAGATTAAATTTTTATAATAATTTCTCTATTATTTCACATTTAAGCTCTTTATTTTCCTTTTTCTGAATAAGTTCCATTGCAGTAAGTACCTTTGTGCAAGACATGTTTTCTTTTTGCTAATTCATTCAGGATTAGTTCTCAGAGGTGGGATTAGAGGGAATCTAGGCTGCTTTTGTAAGACCATGGGACTTTCAGGGAGCATGTAGAGACCCTTGTGTTTTGGTTTTGTTTTGGGCCAGAAGTTTGTAAAAATTCCTCTTACCCTTGGGGTTGATTAAATTTACAGAATGTGCCTTGATGTGTCTTTCCACATTACGTTAGCTTCCATCTTCAAATATCTTTCCAATATGTAGATTGAAATCTTTCTTCAAGTAGGACAGGATTTTCTTCTTCTATCTGCACGCTTAGTCTTTTTGCCTTTTTCCTCTTCCAGTGCAACCATTAGCCATTTGGCATATATCCCCTAGGTACCTGCCACCCGTTCCTCCCCTTAACCCTTCCTGTTCCTGTGTGCGCTTTAAGATGGTTCTTCCATTCAGCCTTCAGGCCACTTACTGGGGCCTCACAGGGGGCCACGTCATTTACTCTTCTAACTTAGTTCTCGAATTGTGGGTCCTGACCGCCCTGAGGAGCTCACACCTGTGTCAGCTCCCGTCCCGTCTCTCAGCGGCCTGTGTGCTCAGGTGCCCACTGTGCTCAAGCACATGCTCTTGTGTTGGATCCCCTTAAATGTGCTGGTGTTTAACTTTATTGGATTATTAGTGGCTTCTTACTGTCAGTAGTGGGGCAGTATAGCTAGACCCAGTGAGGCAGCCAGAGAGCACCTCCCCCACTGATACTCCCCCGGCTCCAGCCCCAGGCCCTGGGAAGCTGCCTCAGCTCCTGCCCAGCCCTATGGGGTCAGGGAGCAGAGACACCTGTGTGGGGCTGAGAAGTACTCTGTGGCCACCTGGGCTCCTCAGAACCCACCTCTGCTAGAAACTGGCTGGCAGCCAGCCTCAGAACTGCTAAGTTCTCCGGGAAAATCCCGGAGCTGGGAGTAGAGTGACTTGGGGTCACTTTCTTCCCAGAATATCCCTTCCCTTCCCAAATAAACGTAACAAAATGGTCATGTAGAGAAAAGTGCATTGAGCAACTATCACTTCATTTCTTGGGCTTCAGTGTCCTTATGTTACGGGAGGCATTGTGTATTTTGCTTGTTCTTGTCCCTGCTACAACAAAGAATTGAAGGGCAGAGATACAGTAATGAAGTAGAGTGAAAGTTTTATTTTAAGTTACTTAAAGAGAGAAAAGGTTTGGATGACCTTAGGGAGGAGAGGTGCCCTCAAAGGTTTAAGCTTTATTTAAAGAGAGCAAGTGCACACTTGGAGAAAGAGGAGTGTGAGCTACCTCATAGGAGAGGCGCGCTGAAAGGTTGAGATAAAGTTTTAAGGCTACGCACTTAGAAAGTGCAGGTGACCTCAGAGAGAGTTGCTCACTGAAAGGTTTAGGTTCTGGGGTTTTGTAGATGGTTGAAGATTTTCAGGAATGCAACACAGGGCCAGGTGCAGACAGGCCAAATTGTCCCAGAATGTTCATCTTTGTTAAGATATTTTCTTTTTTTTAACTTAACACAAGAAATATATTGCTTTGACTCCTTTCCAGGATATCAGCTTCTGTCTGGAAGTATATCTACCAAGACTGTCTGCCCTGCCTCCAAGGTGGGCTGAGCCACTGTCCATTTGATTCAAATGCAACCTTAGCTTTAAGATAGAATTCTTCCTGAGTAAGCTGGGCCTTTTAGCAGGTGCTAAAGTAAATCTTACAAGGGTAGGATCTAATTGACACAGTGAAAACATAGGCTATGCTGAGGTACTTTCTTTTATCTGGGGAGTATTCAAACTTCTAGGCCAAGTTGCTCCTGACCTGCTGAGCTTTCTATTTTTAACTGGTTAACTCTCTGAGTCCCTTCTAGTGGGCTTTACTGGCCTTACTCTCTTTCCACCCTGCTCATACCTGTTTTCCTGCCTAACACTTACTTTACAAAATGAAGATATTGGCAGACTGTTGGCCTCAGAGGTACCTCCCAGCTCCGACATTCCCAGCCCCAGTGTCCTGAGGGTCCTACATCATGCTTCAGCATGAGCAAGGGAAGCAGTCAGTGTGGTTTCCAGCTGTGTGCTGTGGGGTCCTGGGGATTCTGTCCAGGAGGCAGAGAGGGAATGGAGGACAATTGGCGGGATCCTGAGGTTTTCATTTGAATGAAGTTCAGCTGCGAAAACAAGTTTAAAAACTACTGCTGTGTTCAACATGCTCCTCAGAATTAGTCTTACAGAGCATGATCTTCTCCTGATTTCCCTTTGGCATTTTAGATTTTCCCTTCACGTTACAGCCTGTCCACCTGTCGTTCTGCATCAACAGAAACAGGCACTACTGATAAACCCCACTCTCTGAGGATGAAAGGGTCTCCTGTGTGAAGCAGCCTCTTCGAAGTCACCAAGGGGCTGAGCTGGGTGTCTGTCCTTGGGCCTTTCCACAACTTCCTCCAGGCCCGTACTACCTATCATAAAGTTTTTGCAGACATCAGAAAAAAATGGCTTAAAATAGGTCAATGTGCCTATCTTAACTATCTCTGCTATCGCCAGGATGCTTTATTTGACTTTGAAATGTTTGCTAATGTTGCACACCAGAAAGGGAAAGTTTTTAAATTGCTGATGTTGAAAAGCCTAGGGGAGTTTGTTATTCCTTTAAGAAAGCATGATGAGTGAATTTAACTCTGAATGCAGTAATCCTCCCTGTAGGTCTCTACATAGAGTAGATGTTTCCTACCTTCAGAAATTAGTAGTTTGAATGTCTTAGCAAAAAAATGTGCTGACAGAGGGGTAAGACACTGAAAATGATATTTTATAGAAGTTCCACACCCAAGCCCCAGTTCATTACAGTAAGCACTATAATTAAAAAATTCAAGAATCTGTGGTATAGGTAATCAGCACATACTAAAAGTAAAAATATACTTTATTTAATGACAGTCTGCCAGTATCTGTAGATTGTGGAGTTTCTATTTTTATTCATGTTTGAGAATCTGGTCTTCTTCATTTTAAATCTCATAAAAATAACACAGTGGGAATCAATTTAAGGAAAAGAGCCAGAAATACAGATAGGTTAGAAGATCTCTTATGTTTCATTTGTGCTAAATATATTGTTAACCAAGAGCAAAAAAAAGTGTTTGTTTAAAAATCTGTTTAAAAAACACATCAAGCACATTCGTTCTTTCTCTGTGCAGAAGGGAAGAATACAGATAAATACATGATGACCGTGAGCCTGGGCTCTAGACATCTGGGCCCTGCAGGCATCCCTGAGCCCTCAGGGGCTGTGGCAAGAGTATAGTGTACAGCTGGACAGAGTGCCCAGCGGACAGAGAAGGTTGGGCTGGTAATTAAGTCTGTCTAAGGAGAACTCTGAGCTGCAGGCTCAGGGTCTTCCTTTCCATCCTGTGTCCCAGCTTCTCACTGCCCAAGCCATAGCCTCTTTGAAAGGACATTTGGAATTTACGTGGGCCCTGAAATCACCAAGTCTGCAGCTTATTTTCCTGTCCTCCCTCTGTCTCTCCATGCCTGGCTCTGGGCTCTGAATGCAGAGAAAATTGGTCTCATTGGATGAGCTCCGCTTGAGGAACCCTTACTGCCACACTTAAGCAAAAAGAGAGCCTCCAGGCATGACATGGGCTGCAGCCTCTACTCTGCCCTCCAACACGCGGGGTGGTGGAGTTTGGGCCATATGGGGCCAGCTTGGCTGGATCATACCTGACGCTCCCCGCTGCTGTCAGCTGTCACGAGGCACCGCACACCAGCACCCTCCTCCCACCCTCCAGAGCTTCAGGCTTTGCTCTCAGGCTTCCCTCTTCTCTGAGGCTGAATTGCAGGAACCACTGCTCTGCATGTCCTCCATTCCCTCTTCTCAGTCTCCAAATCCCTTCCATACAATCACCATCCACAGTCCCTTCTTATCAAAATAGAAGACTTGGCCACTCGGGGACCGTTAAGACCAAAGCCTATTGCCTGTCTGACCTAAGTCTGTGGGCACTATTCTGAGCCTCCCTGACATTAAAATTTATCACAAAAAGTATATGCTTAGGAAAATCTTATAAGGAAAACCTTTATTTTTTATTTTGTTTTCTTCAGTTATTTTTAGACCCTATTAATAATTATCAATTGCTCAGCAGAGCCTTAGTTGAAGTCAATAAAACATGTTTTAAACAAGAAGGTGAGTTTGTGCAAGTCACTTAGTTGCTATGACCAACCCTGTAATAGCTAACACTAATGGGATGCTTACCTACTACTAATGCCTTTCATCCTCACAGAAATGTTCCAAAGTAAATACTAATATTATCTACATTTCACTGAGGAAGAAACTGGAGAGTACTGAGATTAATAAATACAGCTTGAAAATTGGGAGACCTGCTGGAATCTGGATCTCATGGGGCCCAAATGCAACTGTGGAGTATTCTCTGCTCCCTCTTCACATGTACATAAATTCAGAGTTAATGAAAAAGTAAAGGAAGGATAGATTTGCACTATAGCATTGAAATTATTGCAAGTGCACAATACTCAAAACAAATCACGTCATCTCTGTTCAAGCTACTACTATGTTTATATACTCTTCTGAAAGAATTTTCCATGAACACCAATTGCTGAAGTGATTGTTTTTTAGATTTTGAATAATGATTTTGATTTTTGATAGGCATATTTATACCAAGTTAAAATAGCATATTTTTGGGTTTTCTGACTTTCTTTGTCTCTGAATATTTTTCTAGGGTCAACGTCTTTTCGAAAAGCTGCTCCAACTGACTTCGCAAAATATTGAAATCAAGCTAGTGAGTGATGTGACAGCTGATTCAAAGGTATTAGAAGCCTTGAAATTAAAGGGTAAGGCCAAGGTTGCTATGCTACTCTACCACTGGGTATTCTGTTAAGATACCTTTAATTTCATTTAAAATTATACATACTTTCTTTATAATCAACAGATTTCGCTTAATATACTTTTTATTTCTCCTTTGAAAAATAGCCTGATTAAAGCCTTTAAATGAGAGAACTAATTAATCAATACCACTAGGATTTTGTAAATAGTGTCATTGCATATTAGCTTATGCAAAATAACCCACTGGCCATTAATTGATAATTAACCAGAAGAAAGAAACTTTCTCTCTGTGAAACACTTCCACGGTGTGATTAGAGAAAAGAGCCACTTCTCATCAGAACAAACATTGGAATTCTATTCTTCTCTTGTCCTTCAAATGGAAGTCCTCCTCATGCTGCATATCCTTTAAAATAATATAACCCTATGTAGGTGTCTGCAAAACACAGCTGAATTCACAACTTGTAAGGTATTTCCATGGGAGAATGTCATTTATGCAGCCACTTCGCCGTTGGTCTCACAGTCCCATGAAGACCGGAGAATAACTATGCAATGACTTTCATTATTGTGCAGTATCTTCATGTAACTCCAGGGAGAGGAAATCCCAGGGCAAAATACCTAGCTGAAACTGAAATCACTCAAAGGGAGAAATAAAGTTTAAAACCCATTTATGGCTTACAAACTGCTATTTGGGGGCCATCTCTCTTCTGCTCCAGCAGAAGCAAGACAAGCCCCCACCCAACCTCTCAAGTTCAGATAAGCCCTAGGTCACCTAGGTGATTATCCATTGATATGGAGATGAACTATGCTTCTCCACCCCTGAGGAACACCTGTTGATATGGAGATGCACTAAAGCCAGGCAAGAGATTCTAGAAATACTGCAATTTTACCCACACTCCACTAACTCAATTCTTACTTCCAAATAGCTTTTATTGATTTATAAACATTTTCGCCCTGAATTTACTCTCCGAACTGTAAACCGCCAGGAGGAACTGGCAGGTGTGAGCCAGTGAACATGTTGGAGCTGCCAAGCATCCCCAGGAGAGGAGGAAGCACTGTCCCCGCAGAGTCTCCTTGTTCAACCTGTTGACCTTGTGTCTCATGGTGTACTGTTCAGACACACGGGGTGTTTTTGCTTGTCATGTTACATGTTATTAAGTGAAAATACTTTCTAAAATATGGAGCAGATCAGGAAGCAAATAAGTGAACGCAAGTGGCCTTTCCCTCTGCCCAAGTAAAACTAGAAGTGATATATGGAGATACACCGCTGAGAAAGTCACAGGGAAACGGAGCCAGAGTCGATGGGTTACGACAACTGAAAATCTGTCCTACTGTGTCTAGACTTCCAGTTCTGGAAGCCAATGGATTTCTTTGTCACCTAAGCCAGTTTGAGCTGGGTTTCTTTGAGGTTGCAAATAAAATCATTTGATAAAAAAAAAACAAAAAAACTAGAAGTGATAAAGCCTGTGGAAAGACATAAACATATAGAAGACCTGCCCCACTAGAAGAGGTTACACAAATCAGTTTTCTACATGACCAGTCCTGCCTGGTCAGCTTGGCCAGGCACATGGACCTGTCCCAAGCCATATGGTTTTTTTCTGTGCATAAGAAAATCAAGAAAACTTAGGAAATATTGCTAGGTCTGGAAAGCATCACTATGCTACTTGAGCGCATCATAATATTTTTGAAAACTAGAAAATTCCTAGTTCAGGGGATTAACAGACACAATCCACATGGACTGGAAATGGATTATTAGTTTTCCTGTTTAAAAAATGTGAAACTGGGTTCCTGCTGTCTGAAAATTCATTTTCTGAGACACATTTTCAGGAATGGATGACTTTGGGCTAACATGGATGCCTGCATTTGTAATTTCTCAGAGTCTACCTGCGTGTTCTTTGCATTTGATTATCCAAGAAGCTAAAAAGCAGATGAGTTTGGAATGGAGGGAGGCACCTGAGAGTTCTGTGACTCTTTTTATAGCCACAGAATGGCTCCCTGCCACAGTCCAGGCTAAATCTTGCAAACTCAACCAGAAGTTAAAACTAGACAGTAGTAGGGGGCTTAATGGTCTTGGGCACTGCTACCCTAAGAGGGACTGGCTATTATTGGATTTATGGATCAAGTCCTTGTTTACATTGCTATTACGAACTATAAATTAAAGTTTCGTTGTAGCCATTGCTACTCACAAAAAAGGAAATGTTTGAATTTCACAAGCATGTGTATATATGTATAGCTCAGGTCTGTTCATATATAATAGGAGGTCTTATCATAATAAGAAAATAAATGACTTTCCTTTATAACAGGAGAACAATGAATAGGACCCTAATTTCTCATAGGTATTTTCTATGCAAGTGCAATAGGCCTTGCTGGCTTGTATTAATGTACACAGTACAACATATATACATCTTTAAAATACAGTTAATATATTTCTCTACTCTCATCCTTTGGCAGAGAATACTAAATAATAGAAGTGCATTTTACAAATGTGTTTTGTGAAACATTTTTAAACCTGTGTTTGAATACTTTGCTTTAGGGTAATCTCTTTGTTTTTTTAGAGGGGGGAGTTCTTGGTCTTTAGGCAAAGTTCCAGGAAGGTTTGTCCAGAAACAGTCCCCAAAGGACAGATAAGCATGAGACTAGCCATGAGCAAGTTCAGCTGTGAGGACATTACTGAATGTAGAAGCTAATCTGATATATTGTGAAAAAGATTAAGAGTGGGCCTTCTGCAGGAAATCTTCACATTGTTGGTCAGAGAATATACTCTTAATGATTTCAAACACCTGAAATTTGCAGAAATTTACTGTTTAAATGTTTATGCACCAAACTAAACTTGCCTGATAAATCCTGAGGCCTTTTCATGCCCTCATAGCTTTTGGCTTTTCTTTTTACATTTCACCAGTTCTTATAGATGTCTTGACCAGAGAGAGCTTCTAGAAGCTACTGTATCATAGCTGGAAGTGGGCCAGATGTGAAATGGCATCTCATTGCCTAATGCACAAGAGGCCTCAAAGCAAGCTAAATAAGAGATAGGATTGTCACTGAGTCCCCTACATATTCCTCCATATCTGTCTTCAAGTGGGGTGTGCCATCTGTTGCCAACATTTAGCTGGAGGAGTTGTGACATTTCTCTCAAGCCTATGCTCCTTGCTCACGTCTCCAGAACATGCCTTTTATGTTGTACCTCTCACCAGTCCTGCCAGTGGTAATATCACAGCAATACTAGTGAAATTTTATACTGTGGAATTTTTATTTCTGATTGTGTTTTTCAGTCATAAGCAAAGTATTATTTCCCAATAATACTACTGTATTTTTTAAAGCTTTATTTTTTAGAACAGTTTAAAGTTGACAACAAAATCAACAGGTAGGTACAGAGCGTGTCCATATATCCCCTCCCCCAGACATGCAAAGCCTTCCCTGTTATCAACATCACTCACTCGAAAGGTATATTTTTTACCAAGGATGAACCTATATTGACACATCGTAATCACCCAAAGTCCATGGTTTGTCTTAGGATTCATTTTTGGTTTTATACATTCTGTGAATTTGGAACATATATAATAACATATGCCTGTCATTATAATATCTAGAGTATTTTCATGACCCTAAAAATCCTCTGTTCTCTGCCTAGTCATTCCCCCTACAGATCATGTTTTTAATCCTTGTATTTTATCACTTCTGTTAAAATGAAATTTATAATTAAGAATTATTTTGTGTTTGCCATTTAAAACCATAGCAATTCAGTGTACATTCTCGAATATGACTAAAATATTTGCCCTAGCAGTCTACCAAAAATTAAGAATAAAACAATGTAAAGTCAGAAAATATAAATTTCCTTTTGGTAAAAACCAAGCTTTTACTTGTTCATTGTCAGATAATAACTTTTTAATATAATGAGTAGTGAAATAAAACTCAAAGGATTAGAATCAATGACCTATAAATAAAGTCCACACTTGTTAAAAAAAAAAAAAGCCCTTGAAACCATTCAAAATCTGAATCTCCCTTCTCAATCTCGTTCTTAGTATTTCCTGTTTTGACTTCCCAAATATCTGAAAGGTAATTGTGATTTCCAAAATACAGCCGCTATTCCAGGCTGTTTCCTTGGGACTGAAACACCCTCATCCCCCTTGTCAATATGCAGGCCTTCAAGCCTCATTATAAGTCTTACCCATAATATGTCCCTTTAGACATTTCCTCTTGTCCCCAGTTGGTCTTACTACCTTCTTTTCTCTCATTACTCATTCATTATCTGGCAACCATTCCTTGAGTACCTGACTTGTGCCAGTAAGCTGGACTTTAAAGACAGACAATTGAACATGAGTGCCCCCCACCCTGACTGGCCCTGCCAACTTCAAAGAGCTCACAATTTTCTAGAGAATGCTGATAAAAGGTAAACTAAGTAAGGAGTTCTTAAAACACTGACCCAGAGTCCGGTTTTCCTGAGTCACTTTTTGCATCTAAGTCATAGAGGCCCATGTTTTACACTTGACATCATCTCTGCCCCGTCAGGGTGTTGCTGGAACCCTGTAGCTCTGTAAGAACTCTGGAACTCCAAGAACAGATTCTCCCCTATTGTCCATTTTTTCTAAGACCACTTCCACTCTGCTTGTTTTTGAAGCATACCAGAAAATGTCAAAGAAAGATTCTGACAGTAGCCAGGCCTCACAGTCCTTCCTCAAAGGGTTCTTAAATGGTTTGTTGACTGAATATTTAGGAGCTGTATCAGGCCACCAAGACCATGAAATAACAACTCTGTCACAGCTGCCACCCTGTCCATAGCAGTCCTAAGAGGCATCGCAATGTCAGAGGTACTCAGATGTGACAACGGCATGTTTTAGAATCAGGGACATACGTTATTGAGGGCTATTTTAACATTCAGCAGTAAATTAGGAAAGCCAACTTAGAAACCTTAACTTTAATAATTAAGTTAAATTAGAGTTGCTCATCCTTAATAGTGCACTGAGGGAGGGAGATTCTAAAGAAGATCTGCTGTAATAGGGCTTCAGTGACCCTC